AGAAGGAAATGGAGGGAAAGGAGCAGGGACCCCAAAACCTAAATAGTTGAGAAGCAAGCGGAGCGTCCACCAGGGGACTGACTGTTGCGTTTTTTACGTACTAGATTTTATACACGTGCAAAATACATATAGAAATATCATAATTAAGTATTTTTAGCTTATTTTTTAAGTAAAATTTGTTCCTCAGTTCCACTTTAATAATTTATGCTCGCTTTTGTCTCTAAACTTTTATATCGTGATTTTTTTATGTTTGTTTACATGGGCTACACCCAATTTAAATTTTCACGTTGATCTTTGAATTGACGAAAAACAAATATAATTTGAAGCTAATTTAAATTTTTATATTATTTTGACCGATATGAAACCAAGCTTTACTTGAGAAAGTATAGTGTTGTAGAAGTAAAAATATTAAAATAGTGTTAGGTGAATATCTAAAACTAAGAGCATCTCCAACAGCTTCTCCATCTTCTTGAAATACTCAATTTTGGAGAATATAGAGCTTTTTTTTTGTCCAACAGATTCCCCATCTCATTCCCCAAAATAGGGAAGAATGAGAAAAAATAGGGAGCCTTCCCCAAATCTGCAGCATTCTTCAAATTTTTGGGGAGAGCTTTATTATTGTAATAAATGCAATTTTTCAAAATGGGGAAGCTGTTGGAGTTGGAGCAAAAATAATTTGGAGAATATGACTTGTGTTTCTCCATTTTGGAGAAAATTTTGGGGAAGCTGTTGGAGATGCTCTAATAAAGCAAAATGATTGACTAAAAGTATGCTACAACAATATATAAGAAAATATAAAGTTTGTTCCTAATCATTGATAGACTTCATAAAAAATTATAAATTAAATATTAATACTAACTCTATTATACTTTATACGATAAAAGCATCCACATAAGCATATAAAAATACTGAAAAAGTTCATGAAACTCCATTCTAAAGATTCCTAATTTCACTCAAAATAATTAAACTATTCTATAATATATTTACATTCTAAAGATTCCTAATTTCACTCAAAATAATTAAACTATTCTATAATATATTTAGAAAATATTGTCTTTTATTCCTTCTGTCAAAATAATTAAACTATTCTATAATATATTTAGAAAATATTGTCTTTTATTCCTTCTGTTTTATTTTTTTATTAAACTAAGATTAATCATTCTTCATATTTTTCTTTTTCCCGAGCAATTCTCGTGTCTTCATCATCTACATCGATTGTGATATCAAGTTTGAATTATATTTTTATGATGTTATCTTTTTTGGGCTCATTAATCTTTTTTCTTCTTGTTTAACTTTATAAAAAAGTCAAATGTATTTCCTATGTTCAACACAAACTGCTTAAAATATAGGCTTTGATTTTTTTATTTCAATGAGAATAAATGTTAATTTCATATATATGAAATTATTTGTGTTCCTAATTTATTACTTAAATAAGATTAGAAGCTACCTTTTTTCTACAATGAATTCTTCTAATATGCATCCAAAAAGGGTTTCCATTATGTCAATAATATTACCTTTGCTCTATCCCTCTTATTTTTCACAAAGATCTAAACTAAATTCTTATATTTTTCATTACTAATTTGCATTAAATTGTAATATTAATATTTAATTTCTTCAGTATTTGAAGAACAATGTATGAAATTTATGAATACTTACTAATGTTTTTATATCTTCTATGGAGAATTCTTCTTTGATTGAGATAAAGTTGTTAAATTATATTTTAACGCAACTCTGTCAATGCTTCATTAATAGATATACTTTATATTAATGTTAATTCAAGTGATTTATGGATATTTTCTGAATTTTAAATTTATTTTTGTTACTTTCTCATTTGTAATGAAAATAGCTTAATTCTTTTGAAGGGTATCTCTGAACATTCTGATAGTTCCTCTATATGTAATTCCTTGTATTCTTTTACCTATAAATATTATTAAAATAAAAAATTAATGTTAATTTCTAAATTATAATTAATTAATACTAAGCTATTATATTATAATATTTTATTATTTTTATGGATTTAAATATTTATTAATTAATATTACTAATATATTTTCGCTGCTCCAACCTATTAGTAAAATTATATGCAGTTACTTTAATTTATATAGTAGTGATAATTTTAAGCTATAATATTTTTTAAATTTTTTATTCCTTAGCCGGATGTTTTTAATCAATTCTTATTGCTTTTGTCTACCAATATTAACTTATACTATTTTTAGATGCTGAAAAGTGATAGTAAACCCTAACTTAGAAATTACACACACAAACATCTTAATGAAAAAAATACCAAATAATTAAACTTTTCTTTGCTAATTTTTAAAATTTTAGCCCCTTTTTATAGTTTTGAATTTTGAGGGTGTGATTTGTAGTTTTTAAAACTTTGGGAGAGTTTTTTCAAAAATATTATTTTAAGTTTGGTAGTTGTAACTTTTATGTTTCATGTCTTGTTGGTGATTTTTTTAAATGTTAGGATATTTCATACAACTCCAAAATTTTAAGGGTGTTTTTTATAATTATTAAATCTATAGATTAATTTTGGATAATTTTAAATTTTAGCGGTCTACCAATAGTTTCCAGATTTGATGTGTACTTGTTATAAATTTTAAAAATTTAGAGTTTTTTTTACAATTTTTAAATTTTGAAGGAGTTTTTTTACCACATTTAAAAGTCTCTTTTTTTCATGTTTCAAAATTGAAATTGACTTAAAAATAGGGTTTAACCACATTTAAGATAGGATCATTCTATAGAAACTACTTGTTATTTTTAATTTGTACATTAATCATCTTTTAAAAAAAATTGTTGCAATTAACCACCTGAGTTCACTTTTCAATTAATTTTTTTTAATAATTAACATTGTCTAACCACAATTACCCATCATCTCTCTTGTTATAAATTAACTATAGATTAATTTTGGATAATTTTAAATTTTAGCGGTCTACCAATAGTTTCCAGATTTGATGTGTACTTGTTATAAATTTTAAAAATTTAGAGTTTTTTTATAATTTTTAAATTTTGAAGGAGTTTTTTTACCACATTTAAAAGTCTCTTTTTTTCATGTTTCAAAATTGAAATTGACTTAAAAATAGGGTTTAACCACATTTAAGATAGGATCATTCTATAGAAACTACTTGTTATTTTTAATTTGTACATTAATCATCTTTTAAAAAAATTTGTTGCAATTAACCACCTGAGTTCACTTTTCAATTAAAATTTTTTAATAATTAACACTGTCTAACCACAATTACCCATCATCTCTCTTGTTGCCTTGGTATTTAACAACTACTCATTACAAAAAATCGAAAAAAGAAAAACTTGACTTAAAATTGAGTCTACATAGTTGATTGTAATAAAAAATCATCTAAAATTTGTTTATGTATAAATTAATAATCAAAGGTAATTTTTATGGAATAATTCTATTTAAAGGTAGATTTTAAAGGAGGGTTATTAGTTAGGACAAGTTCGGGCCAAGTGAGATAATTATTTCAATGGAACAATTTTATCCCTTTGGGATATCTTAGGAAGGATAAAGTGGGATAAGTTGGAACAATGAGACAATTCATATGGGATAATTAATGATGTGAAACTTTATTAAAATATAATTTTATCTATCAATTAATTATAGATTAATTTATCACATTGTTTTAGTATACTATTTAGTATGTTATTATAATATAATATATTATTTTACTTTATACTAAAATATAATATGTAATACTATAATTAATTTATTATTATTATTATTATTATTATTATTATTATTATTATATTCATATGTTATATTATATGAATTATTATTATTATTATTATTATTATTATATAATTGATATAATATAAAAACAACATATTTGATATAATATTTTAATAATATAATATTTTATATAATACATTATTTTATTTATACTAAAATATATTATGTTATACTATAATAACTAATTAATATTAATAATTATATATTATATTAGTATGCTATACTATATAATAATTGATATAATATATGAATAATATATTTACTATAATATTTTAATAATATCATATTTTATTTAATATATTAGAATATAGTATCATAGGATATAATGTACTGTATAAAATATTATAATATTTTACTTTATTCAATGTAATATTTTTTAAAAATTTATATTATAATTAAAAATATAATATATACTAAATGATAATATACAATAATTATATACTTAAACTATAATAGTATAACATCATTATTTTATTTAAAAATATTATGTATTTATCTATCTACATATTGTTACTTCAGTCATATAATTATCTATATTATATTCATAGATCAGTACTCATTCCATAATAATATAACTAACTGAGTATAATATACGAATAATATATTCAACTATAATATCCAAATATATAATATCTTAACTTTAATATATCCAATTACTCTAGCTCATACGCGTAATAAGTTTACTGCATAAATCATTATAATATTTTTACTTCCAATATGGCTATTATTTATACAATTCGTATATTGTACTTAAAATACTAGTATAAATACCTATATGATAATTAATCAGTGATATACTACACAAATATTTAAAACGTTTATATATAGTGAAATAATTATTTATTATAATTAATATAATAAATGATAATATATTCCAATTTGAACCCCCAATGAAAAAAATTTTTTTTTTTTTTTTTTAATAAATTTTAAAATGATTTATACTTAATGAATATAGAAAAAACTCATTAATTTTAATACTATTATATTATATTATACTATATTATTATATTGATTTAATATAATACACTATAATATAATTGCTACAATAAAATATTAACTACAATTAATATAATATATTATATAATAATATATATTAATAAAATAATATATAATATTTCATAAATATGTTGTACTATTATATATTATATAATATAGTATGTGATATTGCGTAATAATATATAATAAATATAATAGAATAAGTTGTACATTAAAATTAAACTATAATAATATTTTATTC